TCTCTCTGGCCAAATGTGTCAAAAGCAGCAGCGTACCCACAGGGCACCCAGCGGGCTCACACACATACATACTCACACAAACTACTTAGCATACATAACACACATCCCAGCCATCATGTTGGGCAACCGGGGCAGACCCTACACGTGTACATCACACACACGTGCACATACATCACACACACAAACTACTTACCCCATACAACATATACAACACACATCCCAGCCACCACATAAGGCAACCGTGGCAGACCCTACATGTATATCACATCAGACATCACATACACACGCATGGCATACACACATCACACACATGCATGACACACACAAACTAGTTAGCACACACAACACACATCCCAGCCACCACACAGTGCAAGCAGGGCAGACACTACAGAAACATCTGACATGCATATCACAAGCAGGACATACACACAAGCTCCTCAGCATACACAACACACAGCCCAGCTACCACATGAGGCAATTGGGGCAGACCCTACACACACTTCAAATCACACACCACACATGATGCATACATCACATGCACAACACACATGTAAACTATTTATCACACACAACACACATTCCAGCCACCAACATAGGGCAACCAGGGCAGACCACACACACACATGCACATCACACACACACATGTAGGACACACACAACCTATTTAGTGCACACTACGCACCCCAGCCACCACACAGGTCAACTGAGGTTGACTCTGCACACATCACACACCACTCCCACATACACAGTACACACATGCATGTCAGACGCATAGGCACAGCACACACACAAACTACTTAGTGCACACCACACGCATCCCAGCCACCAGAGGGTAACTGGGGCAGACTCTACATGCATGCACGCGCGCACACACACACACACACACACACAAGGACATGCACACAAGCTCCTCAGCACATGCACCACCCATCCCAGCCACCACATAGAGCAACTGAGCCAGACCCTACACACACATCACCTCACACATGACACACATCACATGCACAACACACACACAAACTACTTAGCACCCCCAGCCCCCATCCCAGTCACCACACAGTGCACCCAGGACAGACTATACGTACATATCAAACCAGCACACAGGGAGGACATGCACACAAGCTCCTCAATGCGTGCAACACACATCCTAACCACCACTGAGGCACACACCCATCACATTGCACTTCAGTGCACACACGACACACATCACACACACACAAACTACTTAGCACACCCAACCCCCCTCCCAGCTCACATGGGGCAGACCCTGCACACACATCATACGCACTCATTGCACACACACGCGCGTGC